TTTTTATTTAATTTTGCTGCAACAATGATTTTACAGTTTTATTAAATACTTAAATTGACATAGATATGGGTCTTTCTTTAACATATTAGAGCAAATACATTCATTTATATACAAATAGTTTTGGTAAACAGATCTACAATAAATTAGTTTTAAACACTGTATGAGTATTATGAGATACGTATTCAAATATTATGCACTTTATTTGAAATTTGTAAACTGTATAAATAAACAATTAGTCTTCTTATATAGTACCAAAAAGAAGTTTTCGAATAGCCGAAAGTAATTTCAAAGTATAAACATAATAATTGGTAATTACGCCATAAATAGTGATATGCTGCCTTTTTATTCAGTATGAAAAATATTCAACCAATAAATTACGTAAAATTTAAGAAGCTAATTTACTTAAAATGTTAAACGAACATCGTTCTTATTTTTATACATATAGACATATGAGTAAATGTGATATCACTACAGAAATCGTAATAATAAGACAATATTATTACTATTTATCTGGATAGCACCCTATCATGTCAAAGCATCACAATTTTAAGAAATTTGGTATCCGGTGCGTTTTCAATTTTACTCGAAAGTGGTATTTGTCGAAAATTAGCCTTTTTAATTAGCAGGGCAGCATTATAGTCATATTCACAGTCACTTAAAAAGGTCTACTGATGGTACCGTATCAGAACCGTGCCACATGGAAGTCTGTAATCTTTACAAACCCCTCTGGGTGACAAGCGTGAGCGTTTATGTGTTTATGTTATAATAATTTATGATGGTACCGCTAAATGACTTCATCGAATTCATGAGAATCACAGGAGCATTGGCGGACTTTTAAAAAGATATAGGTTGTTTTATAAAAGTCTGTAACTCGTATCTGTTTGGAAAATCGCTGCTGGTTGCCGATTCCACAAAGAAAGACCATCCATGGATAGGGACCTAAGTTTAGTTTTTGTAAAAAAATATTTGTTTCGTCGACTACCGATGTTACCAGTTTGCCGATCATGGTTATTTTTGTCAAATCAGTTTATTTGCTAGGTGCGAAAAAAGAGTAGCGGTGGTGTGTCAATATAATAATCAACATTTAGAGGACAAAGTCGTATTATATTGATTGCATAATCTATGAACGAAATAAAGAGGAGCAAGTTAAGAGGGAATTTTAAGGCATTCCTTTACTTGGTTAGAACCCTTAAATAAAAAAAATCATGAAATATAAGTAAATAAAAGTAAGATTTAATATTTCATAATCTCCTAAAATTCCTTGAGAAGAACAGTGTGTCTAGTAAATTATGTCTTTAATTATTTTTACTTATACAAGGTTATTTTGCAATAACTGGCCAAATTTGCAGAGGGAGGTTCAGAATAGGCAACATAAGCGATAGGTGAAAAAAAATTAAACATTTTATCCTTTTTTTATATTCGAAATGTGGAAATGTATTATTTTAATTGATTGTCATTCATAAATATGTGTTTTTTTATTGAATAGGGGTGACAAATAAGCACATAGTCCACCTGATGGTGAGTGGATGCTGTGTCCCATAGACATCTACATGTATCCTTAATTAAGAATTAAAATGCAGAGGCGTTGCCTGCGATGTAAGATGAAATGCCTTGTTTCTAGTAAAAAGGGTCTCTGGAAAATGTAATTTTATTAGCACGCATACATTCGTAAGGGAGTGTTGAATTCGGAAGCAGTTGGTAGCGTTTGGCCAGTTCAGTGTGCAGCGTAATACAGCGTGCCTGGTGCGAGTTTTTTACGTGTTTGATCCCGATAAGGTTAAATACGATTCGTATGGAATGAAACACAATTCATGAGTGCGAGTTTATTAAGTCGCCGATAGCGACTATTGAACATTGACTCGCATTCGACAGTGAGTACGCTAACGCTCGTGATTGGTTGTTTCAAGTGTTTTTCGAGTGTGAGCAGCAATTTTGATCGTTCGAGACGTAACCTAGGTAAACTTTACGCCGTCGCAATTGAAAATATTTTCACATCGAGATTTACAATGAGATATTAGAGGGAGAGAGGAGGCCTATGTTCAGCAGTGGACTTGTGAAGGGCTGTAATGATGAATGATGATGATTAGAGGGAGAATAATTGTTGAAGAGATATAATTATGGCAGGACTTTTTTTCTTTTTTCTTCTTCTTTTTTTTTCGCTCGGACGATGTATGCAGCCTCTAAAGCATTAACAACTAATAATAATAAATGACTGCTATTATAACGCTAGTTTTGAAGCAAGAGCTAGCGCGTATTTCAGTCCGTTGTTACACCTCGGTGACAAGAAATTTAAGGATAGATATCGGCATTTGCAGGAAATTATTTAAATTTTTGTGTAAATAATTTTTGATTATTTTAGAGTCTACTCTCACTATTCAATAATTAAGTCAATTTCTTCCAGTTCTTCATACACGCCTTCTTATCCCTAACATTAGTGGACACTTTGCTAAGGCCACCATGCCGAAAATCCAATAAACTCTAGTCCGTGAAACTTAGTTACAAAACACACGCATCTTAAGTTTACTTAACACTAAGTAACTTAAATTCCATTGACTGATCCATAAATTTCACCATAAATTCATTTTAGAATGAAGACATCTTAATGTTTTATAGGTATATTATTAAATAGGTAATGAAGATTGCTATAATAACCACAACTTTCATAGACGGATGCTAAAATCATGATCACTTAACAAAAATGTCATTCTCAATTTTGTTACTTTATCTCACGAACGCGCTACCAACATTAGAAAATGAACGAACGCCATTCACAGTGAACAAACGCGAATCGAAGGGTCAGCTTTGATTGTAACTCATACTCGCTTATCTTCGCTTGTCGAATAATTTTGTGGAACTAGTACTGGGCACTCAGATATAGTCTCCCACCCTTTCCCTTCGGAAAGTCGTTACACTGCGTCGTAATTAAAAAACGTAAACGTAGTATTTACCCGGCCGACTCTGACCGACAGTGTTCATCCATGGTGTTCGCTTGACAGTGACCTCACTATGTACCAGTGTCTTATTTCTAAAATTTTGTAGGTTAATTGTGTATCTAAAACATTCAAGCAGCGAATACTATGAAATATTGCGTTGTTACATTTTAAGTAATAGAAGTTTACGTGGTGCGTAAAGATTATATGAAAGCAAGTTTTTACCGCGCTTGCAAAGATTAACGCACAAGGGATTAACGCACGTATACCACCCAATCAGAGAACAATTTTTGTACGAGATTTACCTATATACATAAACAAGAATACTATTTGTACCATGGTAGTGATATAAGTAGGTAATTATAAGCAAAATAAAACGTTTTTATGAAATACGTAAATCTCGCGAAAATACTTTTTTTAATCATTTAAATTAAATAATGTTATAAATTGATGGATTTGATTTAATTTTAATTCCTTTTTTAGATAAAATCTTTTAAGAGCATTTAAATAAAAGCTTGTTTAAAAAAAACTCTACTTCTTACTATTAATTTGTTATAAGAGATATTTGCTGAAAAGCTCTTTTTAGAAAAAACCTGTTTTCAATTTAAAGCTTACATTTATTATATAATTTAACAGTTTTTTTATTATATATTTTTTATCATTTATTATATAATTTAACAGTAAAAAGTATATTGAAAGTTCATATTTATTTTATAAAATACATATTTTGTTATCTGAACATATTATGTTACTTTTCAAATAATTCAACATAAAAAGGGTTCAATGTAAGAAAAGCAAATAAATTAATATAGATAAATTTAACTACTACAATTCACGTTGCATTATATATGTTAAATAAACCCTTGGGTGGCATGTACAACTCGGGCAAAAGTTCGGATTTACTTAGTTGGATTTTACACGTAAATAACTTACCGCTTGAACACTGCAGTGGAATAATATGTAGAGCTACATAGAATGTAATTCTTATCTTTCCACCATAATTACTAAATATGTATGTTACCGTTAAACCCATTTTTAGATAGAACGCGTTTTCCTGAGTTAAAACAATTTTTACTAAATGCCTTTGTGAAAACTAGAAATACCTAGTCAAAACTATACTAGTACTTACCAATTATATAATTAATTTTCAGATTAAACTAGTTGTCACTCCGAGCTTTAGTTAAAACTAACACTATTTAAACTAATTTGGAATTGAAAACCAGATATACTTACTAAATATTTATTAAAAAGATCTAGGACACAGGGTTATGCTCCTATGAAAAATAATAATCTGAGACTAAAGAAATATTTTAGGGCACATCGACAGAAATTAGTTGCCAAGGTGAAAATATTAATTAAAAGTAAATAAAAATCGAACAAGTCAACAGAACACAACCATAAAATTAAAAAAGGAACATTGATTGTTAAGGAATGTTTGTTAACATACAATAAGAAATAATCAAATAACCTTAAAATTAAATAGGATGAGGATCTACTTGTTATTACTCGACAAACTGTTATGAAATTTTGAGTTACAAAGGTAACCTTTTTTATGTCGAGATACATTTTTATCATACAGCCTTTCACATACGCAGCGCATAAATCCTTGGGCTGTTCCTGTGGCTGCTTCCTTAGCAACGGTTCTCAAAGGTAAATTTGTATTCGGAACATCTTCTTCATCCCAAAATTTTTCTGTGCGCTTGTCGAATTCTGACCCGAAAAGCACATTGAAATAGATTTTATCTAATAGCGATATATGACAATATATGAAAATAATGTGACAAAACAATTAAGCCAAACATAGGTACATGCCTACAATATAATTTGTATAGTATTCCATATTTCGTTCCAATCTTGTGAAAACCCTGATCATCTTTTAGAAGAAATACTCCGATTATATTACGTAGCTCTTATTTTGCTCTGTCGACATCAGGGATTTGTATAATTAAATAATTACCAATTTCTACTGGAACGTGTATTGGATCTGAAGCCAATATTATTTTCTGGGCCTGTTTTTATAAGTTTTGCTGTGCTGTTTCTCTGATGCCATTATTTGTTGATTCACATTGGTTACAACTTCGAAGCCTTTGTCTTTTGGTGGTATTTATTATAAGAGACTACAGTCGCAGTCGCTTCAGTTTCAATGTCATATTCACTGGCTTCTGCTGCGAAAGGAAGTTCTCCACTTGTTTTGGATGAACTTTCTGCGTCTTTTTGTTTAACTACGATTATAATCTGATGCTGTCCAGTGCAACTAGCTACAAGCTCAATTTCTGTATTATTTGTACTATCCGTCAAATTTATTTTATTTTCGTTATCATCTTCATCTCGTATATCCTCAACAAAATCTTGAGATAAAGTCGAAGTCATAAACCCTACTCGCAGTTCTGTACCAAACATTGCTTTGTACGGTGACTATAATGGAATGAAGTACCCGATTTTTTATAAACTGTACAAATCGAACACCATTTGACCAATTTGTAGCTTGCATCTTGCTTTCATGAAGCCAACATTTTCTCAATGTCTTGTTTAGCTCTTTCAACAGACGTTTGGCTTTGACCGTATCTTGGCTTTCCATGGACCGATTTCGTACTCTGACCAAAATGAAACGAGCTCATTTATGACAGCATTTACAAATTCTTTGCCGTTATCGGTGTGCAAGATGAAAAAAGCAAAACAAAATAAAAATATATCCGTAAATGATACGCCACCTCCACTGCTCTCTTAATTTTCAGTGCACGCAACAAAAAAAGTTAATAAAATTTAGTCAAATGGTCCTGATACGCCATTAAAATCTTAAATTCCCGATTTTATTAAGTTTGCATGTAGATATAAATGTATCTTACTTAGCAACGGCTGGTCATTTGAAAATGTAGTATGGGTTTTGAAACAAGTCCTTTTTTCTACATACTCTTTTTACGCTGACAAGTTTGGCACATAGAGAGAAAAATATTTATCAATTCTAAAGTAATGCTTATGCGCATATTTTCGTGAAGTTACATTTATAAGTTTTTCCCGACTACCGTGACCAACGGCCACATGAACTGCTTCAATTATATCAAAAAATTAATCTACATACACATATTATTTAATGGGCTCTTTTCTAGTGACTAATTTTCCTTTTACACAAATATTAATTACCCTTAATCGCTTCAGTCCCCTGCACTGTTTCAGAGATTTCTAAACAGCTTCTTTAATTGCGTACTCTAAGTTGCCATAGTTTTTTTGTCATTATGTTAATTTTCCTAATTGTCTGACATGTTCATGCACACCTTTGCAAAAAGTGAATTCAATTAAATACCTTGGCATTTTGTTGGATGATAAGCTAACTTTTCATGAGCATATTTATTCACTTTCAAATAGGATATGGAAATTAACATAATCTTTAAAAAACTCCGTAGCGTAGCAGATTCTAACATTATTAAATTTGTCTATTTTTCTCTATGCCAATCTTTAATAATATATTGTATTACAAGCTGGGGTGGGGCTACCAAATCATCTCTTCTGCCCCTCGAAAGATCACAAATGTTAATCTTAAAAGTAAGTAACTCTCTTCCATTGAAATTTCCAACCAGTCAACTTTATAAAATTTCCAAAGTTCTTACAGTCCGGCAACTGTTTATGATATACACAGTACTAAAAAAACCATGCACAATTAAAATATGACCAAAAACTACACAGCACACAAAACGCAAAGACTGAGTGTGTACTTCTCATTATGACCATTGTACCTACCTCCTTTTCTAGGAGATTTTTTGCTATCTTGGCGGATACCTGTATAATAAAATTAATTAGGAACCTAATATTCAGGTCCTACCTAAAATAAAAGATAAAAAAATGTATCCATGAATGGTTACTGAAGACGGACTATAAATATGCGGAAGATCTTTTTATAATTATAGCGCCACGTGGTAAAAATAGTCAAGTGTATAAGATAAAGAGATTCCACAGTAAACATTTATAAAATGTAAATATTCTATTTCGTTCTTGGCGTGTCTTTGGATTTGTATGTTAATTAGTTCGTCGATTTCTCAAACACACATACACACACACACACACACACACACACACACACGCGCGCACACGCACACAAGCAGACACGCACACACACACGCACACACGCCACACGCACACACGCACACACGCACACGCGACGCACACGCACACACGCACACGCACACGCACACGCACACGCACACGCACACGCACACGGCCACACGCACACACACACACACACACACACACACACACACACACACACACACACACACACACACACACACACACACCATAAATGCGGTGACCTATACACACCTACATCAACCTTCGATTAAAAAGGATGACGGTGTTGATGATGAATTCGACGAACGAACAAAACATTAATTTTCTTTTTAGATAAACTCATGTTTTGTTATAAAATAGAGGTCAATATTACTACTACATATATATATTCAAATAGATTTTAATTATTTACTATACTCTTTAATAGTGTAATAAAAAGTGGATCTGCAGAGAATTTATTCCAAAAGATTTTTTACACGAAACCATTAAAAAAAACTTTTTTGTCTCATTTTCATAAAGTGGTATAAATTCTTTTTAAATTCGCATGAGAGTTTTATGCTATGGTTCGTATTTAGTTTTTTTTTTGTTTTTCCATATCGTTAGGTATATAATTTATAATACAAACAGCACGATATACTCTTCAATATTTTCCCGTTCTGGATAGATAACCCATTTAGCATTCATTCAAATTAGCTTTATTCTATTTTAAAATAACTAGATACACTAGATATAATTTTTATCATCCTTCCATTTTATAAATTGTGCTTTTAAAATGGATTGCTACTATACTGGAGCATAAAATGTATCATAACGTCGTACTAAAGTAAAGCTTAGCTTGTAAATTTTCGTGTCCACGTTTTCTGTCAGGTCCTACATTCTGTTGCGAAAATGGGGAACATTATTTGCATTAGCAACGTCATATATAAGATGAATTTTAATGATGTTCAGCAGGAGACGTGAACTGTTGTATCTATAAATACAAATTTTCTTCCTAAAGGCCGTTTTTATAGTGATGATAGTGATATTACACTTTAAGAAAAACAGATTAAATTACAAAAAACTTATGTAAGTAATACATATTATATAGATAAATTATTTGGATTTATTTTATTGTTTTTTTCTTGTGTTTCTTTACGCAAGCTTTTTTGAGTTAAATGTTACACTCGCTTGCAAGTATCAATGAAGGTGTTTTGTTTTATAAAAATATGGGTGAAAAATGAAAACACAGTTTACCTGGTAAGTTTATGCCATAGTACTAAAGTAGATGCGCTGTCATCCCTTACACCTTAAATAGAATGCTTCGTTACCAGTCAATGCTGGTCTTCAGTTCTCCGCACACTTCAGCATTATGTGTTTTTGTGACTCATGATAAATTTGTGAGACTTTATTATTTCAGTCCAGCGTACGGGTTGGGTTTGAAGTAAGGTCATCTGAATTTGGGGATTCTGTCACTATGGGGGGGGGGGGGGGGGGGGGGGTCAAAGGGGTCTATCGGAAGCACCCTCGTGCGATTTTTGCTGCCGGAGCAGCTGTTGAAGTATTTTTAATTATTTTTTTAAAAATATTCGTAAATAACTAACTAAACATGAAATATAACGTACATTTTAATGAATTCTAACGTTTTTGACGTTGCATCTGCCTAAGTCATCTCAAAATGCGTAAAATGAATCGCTAGATCGGCTAATTTGTTGACAGTGATAGATATACCTTACGTCATTTCTTTATTTCCGAGTTTACGTGAATGTGCTCCATAATGTTTTTATCTACATCCACCTGTTTTTCGGCGACTTTACGTCCCTTCTGGATCCTTTTTTACAAATGGTTGCAAATATAAATTATGTTTATAATTTAAAGTATTTACAAAAGTTAATATTTTGGTATTTTGTTGAGTGTAAGAGCAAGCGAAGCGAGCTCGAGATTTTGGGGCACCCCGACTCGGACAGGTTAGGTTATAAGGGAATGTCGGGTTCAAGTGAGCGAGCGAATAGATCCCGTAATCCCCTTCGTGGTTTTTTTACATAAACCACTAAGAAGTAGGAGACCCGCCAAGCTCCATCCCCACCAACCCCTGCCCTCTAATTCAGGCGACATAATTTCAACCTTACCCTAAAGGGTAACAGAGGGAAAGTGAAACAGGAGAATGACAGCTGAATCTCTGATTGATAAAAGCCCAAAGTTATAAAAATTACGGTTGCCAACCTACCTGCCAAAAGTGGCAACTATGGCAAAATCCCCCGTAAGAGAAAATATTTTGGGAAGGCCTATGTTTAGTTTTTTGAATACTAAATTATATGCTGTGACACTTAAGTATCTCAGTATATACCTCATTATGATTATATATATATATATATATATATATATATATATATATATATATATATATATATATATATATATATGTTAAGTTAGTTTTCCTTTACTCATTATTATCTAAATAAAGTTGCCTTGTAAAGTGAAGTATCATAGCTATTTCATGAAAAAATACTATCAACAAAATCTTAATAATGGCGCGATTCTCGCCTAAAAGCAAAAGTAAAGCTGTAGAAACTGCTTTTCTTCAGCGGTCGCCAGAAAATATTGAAGCAGATACTATTCATAACCATCATCTACAAATGCGGTTTAACACTCATTGCAGTCTCCCCACAATTGTTTTCTTCAAACCTACGTTAAAGTTGCAAACGTATTAAATTTTGAATTGTTCTTGTACTATAAAACTTTAAGTCGAACGTCTCCAGTTAGCATATCTTTGAACACAGTCGATTATTACTGTTAACTTTTGTACAACTTCACTGATACGCGAGCAACTCGGGTTCGATCCCCGCCGGTACCATTGAAATTGTTAATTGCAATTTTAAGTACTGATTTACCACGTGCTCGACAATGGAGAAAAACATCTTGAGGAAATTTGCATGTCTGACAAATAAGGAAAAAGTATTTCGAAGACATGTGAATTTGTTAGTTTTACACTAAATCTAACTTATTTGTTACTTCCATTGGAGAATGTTTTTGTACTTGATAACTATGCAAACTTCCGGGGTACGTACCTACATTACTAATTGTTTATATTCATCAATTGTAATTACAGATTCTAAAACAAAGACTATTTAATGCGCCATTGAATTATATATTTTTCCTAATATAATCGTTAGGATTACACAAAGAAAATGGAAATCGGATATACTTGCGGCTGTGCGTGCCCGACATGGGCTGACAACAGTGAACGCTGGTGTGGTCGATCCGTCTAAGCCTATTTTTATTAGTGATCATTTATCGCCACATACTAAATTATTATATGAGCAAGTACGTCATATCGCTATAAATATGTTTGGTTGTCAGAT